TGCTTTAGGAAGTAAGGGATAGGATATATGCCCTTTAGACATAACATATAATAGGTTTCTCCTGGTTCTTGAGAAACTCAAAACTATTTACCTTGCATTTATTCATTCAGCAAATGTATTGTCAGGCACTACTTCAGGTGCTGGAACTAGCAGTGATCAAAGCTGATTAAATCCTGGCCCTTGTGCGCTTATGTTCTAGTGAGGGAGACAAACAATAAAAAAGTAAATAAATGAACATATTTAACATAATTTCAGGTGGTGATCAGTACTATAAAGAAAAAAGTATTTCATTCATTTACATATTCAAAAAGTGCCTTATTTTTACAAGTAACTAGACTGGATGTGATTAGCAAGAGACTGCCCTGAGAAGACACTAACATCAAATCTAATATGTAGACAACAGAAAAAGAAGTGTCATCAAAAAAAAAAAAAAAAATATTTATAAGGCACTAAGTTGAAAGTAAAGTGAAATCAGTTTCAAATGGGATCACCAAATAAAGAAGAGTTGATACAAGTTGTGATATTTAAGCTGGGCTTCAAAGGAAAGATATAATTTAAATATATAGTGGCAGGGAAGAGGAGGTATGAAGAACATTCCAAGTAGTAGAAATGGTTTAAATGGAAAACGGTTTATATTGAGAACACTGAGCAACATATATTGGCAAAAGCATAGGGTATGTGAAGGGGAATATATTGGTTATCTATTGCTGAGTAATAAAATGTGCCAAACTGTAGTGGCTTAAAACAATAAACATTTATTATCACTTGTTTCTGTGGGTCAAAAATCTGGGCTGAGCTTATCTGGTCCTCTGGCTAAGGTATTAGCTGGGACTACATTCATTTCAAGGTTCAAATGGGCGGAATCTACTTCCACACTTACTCAAATGACTGTTGGCAGGCCACAGGTTCTACCTGGTAGTTGCCAGAAACATCTGTTCCTTGACATATGGGCCTCTCCATAGAACAGCTCACAAGATGGCAGCTTGTTTCCTTCAAAGCAAATGAAGAAGAGAGCCAGAGGAAGTGAACAAGAGAACAAGATAGAAGCCACGGTCTTTTCTTTCTTTTGAGACAGAGTTTCGCTATTGTTGCCCAGGCTGGAGTGCAATGGCGTGATCTCTGCTCACCACAATCTCCGCCTCCTAGATTCGAGCCATTCTCCTGCCTCAGCCTCGCGAGTAGCTGGGATTACAGGCATGCACCACCACATCTAGCTAATTTTTGTATTTTTAGTAGAGACGGGGTTTCGTCATGTTGGTCAGGCTGGTCTCCAACTCCTGACCTCAGGTGATCCACCTTCCTCAGCCTCCCAAAGTGCTGGGATTACAGGCATGAGCCACCATGCCCGGCCTGTCTTTTTGTAACCTAGCCTCAGAAGTGACATGCTATCACTTTTGCCAGATAGAAATGCATCACTAGGTCCAGCCCATATTCAAGGAGAGGGGATTACAAATATGTATGAATACCAGCAGGTGGTGATTTATTGGGGCCTATCCTAGAAGCTGCCTACCACAAGGAATAATGGAAAATAAGATTGGAAATATAGACTGGGCCAGATCAAAGAAAGCCATAGAAGCTAATCTGCGAATGAAACTATACAGTTGGAAATGGAGGGTAGATAGAAGCAAATTTTATGTGTAAGCCTATTTTTGGCAAATTGTAGTGCTGGATAAATAGAATTTTGAGGGTCATCTTAAAAACCAGTTGTTTAACAACAAGTAGAAAATGTCAACCAATGACAGCTTCCAGGAAACAGAACCACTCTATTTTATCAGGAAATAGTGGTCAAAAAATTGTACAGAAGATAGCCACCTACCTTCAATAAATAGTTTTAACACTGTATCCTGACAATGCATTCCTGAAAATCCAGAATTGATAACTGATATTTGTGACAGTTTTTCTGTCTTAGGATAGGAAATAAAATTCACTTTCAGTAGCTTTCAAAATTCTTTGATACCCCAACCCGCAGCAAGAAATACATTTTACATCAGCAGTCCCCAACCTTTTGGCACCAGCGACCGGTCTTGTGGAAGACAATTTTTCCACAAAAAATTGGAGATGGTTTCAGGATGAAACTGTCCCAACTCAGATGGCCAGGCATTAGTTAGATTCTCATAAGAAGTATGCAACCTAGATCCCTCACATGTGCAGTTCTCAATAGGGTTTGTGCCCCTATGAGAATCTAATGCCACCCCTGATCAGGCCGAATGCTGCTCAATTGCCACTCATCTCCTGCTGTGCAGCCCAGTTCCTAACAGGCTTCAGACGGGTACCAGTCTGCTGCCCAGGGGTTGGGGACCTGTTTTACATCACAACTCATAATACACACACACACATATATATGAACACACAGATAATCACAAATATATACATATGTACATATATACACTCACACATATATATATACACACATAATCAAGATAAAAGATTTGCAGAATAATAGTACATATGGCATACTGATTTTTTTAAAAAAGTATTCTGTTCTACTGCATTGAAGGAAATAAAAAGCTAGTAGTAATCCACTGAATTCATCACTATCCACCACTTGGTCCCATTCTGAAAGTTTAAAAAATGCTGCTCTTCTAGAACAGTAGCTTAGAAATCAAACAAAATTATGACCAATAGGTATTTGGCAATATCGTTTCCCAGAAGTTGAATGAGGACACTGTGTCCAATGCATTCAAGCCCAAAGCATAACAGCAATTGCTCAGAGCACATCAGGCCTCAGCTGGAAGCCTGATGGAGTTAGCAGGCGTGCCTCAGTTTGGCCCTCGGAAAGACAAATCAAACTGTCAATAAAAACATGGAAGTTTACCCCCTCTTCTTTTTTTGTCATTTACTGTTCAAGTTCTGATCACAGAGACCAGATCATTACTGCAGCCCCCCCTGCCCCTCCCACCACTTTGCCCTCAGCTGTACAGGTATTGTGCTTCTCCTAAATATGTGTTGCAATACGAACCACCAAAAAGTCCAAAGGACATGAGATTTACTTATAGTGCAACTTGCCACCCATAACTACCAACCCTGAGGGCCTCCTTAGCACCTCTAACTGGGCAGAGGAAACGACCAGAGATTCATCTGGAATGAAAAAGTGGTTTAAGACCTTTTGATTGTTATCAGTTGAAACCTGATCTAAAGAAACTTCCTGGGACTCCTCTCTAACCTACCACTACCAAGATTGTTGTGACAAGAAGAGTTGATTGATTTTAGTGGGGAATGTATGTTGAAGGAAGATAGTTTTTTCAGCCCTAATTGTGTGTCAAATTCCAAACCTGCCCTTGGGGAGTTCACAATCTCTTTGGGCAGATGATACTACAAATAGTCTGGAATGATTTTGAGTGCATGACAGCATGGGTTTTTAAAAGTCCATCACCATATTGTTTTAGAAAATAGTACCTGCAAAAAGAGGACAGAGTAGGGAGAGACGCTATGGGGCATGCGGGGTGCTTTCCTGCGGCTCAAAGGCTAAGCCTTGTGCGATAGCGGCATTTAAGGGGGTGAGAGGAGGTTGGCCACCAAAGCAAGAATGGCTATTATTTCAGCCTGACCAACATGGAGAAACCCCGTCTCTACTAAAAATACAAAATTAGCCGGGGTGGTGGCACATGCCTGTAATCCCAGCTACTCGGGAGGCTGAGGCAGGAGAATCACTTGAACCCGGGAGGCGGAGGTTGCGGTGAGCAGAGATCGCGCCATTGCACTCCAGCCTGGGCAAAAAGAGCGAAACTCTGTCTCAAAAAAAAAAAAAAAAAAAAGACTGGCCTGAGCGGAGTAGAAGGTTAGAAGGTTTGGGGTAGGGAACACAGGAGTGTGATGGGGGAAATCGGGCCCTCGCTTGTCAATCATAAACACTGGTGCAGGCGAGGGCACCCGAAGCCTCATGTGCGGCGGAAATAGGCAGTTGTACAGATTTCCTCAGTAAAATATTGAAAGCAAAAATTGTGATCACACCCAGCCCTTTGCTTTGTGCCCTGCCCAGTTTCTCCCACGTCCCCATAAGGAAGAGAGCAGTAGGTCAAACTTGTTTGTTCATTCATTCCACGAACATTTCTCTCTCCTAAGGGGTCTTTGTTTCCAGCAAGGGAGTGAGTCTTGCCTTTCCCGCAGCACCACTTTCTCCACAGTGAAGGGGCCCCCCTAGTTGCCTGGCTCAGCAAGACCACATCACCATTGAAGGGAAAGGACCAGGCTCTGCAGAAAGCGCCTCAGACCCGCATTCATACAAGGCAGTGCCCTTGCAGGGGGCGGTGGTGATGGGATAAGAGAAGCGACGTGTCAGCGAATGGAAAACTGGGGACTCCCAAGCAGCCTTAGGAGCGCCGGGCTCCCTACTGGAGCCTCCTTCTAAGGGGTCTGGCTTGCTGGCCAAAAGGTAGCCTTTCCGCTAGTCTGGTTTTCCATGGCCGTACAAAAAGGTCATCCCGAAAAGGAGCTGCTAGCCGACCTCGGGCTAGTTTTGAAGAGTGAAAGCAGGTCTAGGTGGAAAAGAAACAACAACAAACCATCAGGACAACGTTGCTGTCTTGGCCCAAGTTTGTGAGACAAAACCTCATTGTAAATCACAAAAATAACAATCAAGAAAGTGTTTGGTGGGAGGGTGGTGTCCCCGAAAAGCCTTGATATGTGCCCCCAAAACAAGGACTGCTGGTGAATCGGACAGGAGAAAATTTTAAGGAGATGGCTCCTCAAAGACAACCGCATGTGTTGAGCACCAACCCGGGTTGAAAAGGATAGGCAGCGGCAGCATCTGGGGGTCTTTCCAGACTATCTAGGAAGCTGGAGAGAGTGGGCTTTGGCTTTGCGGGAGAGTCTTGGGGGCGCCCTCGGGCGGGGCTGGGCCGCGGGCGCGGGCCGCAGAGGGAGGTGCAGGGAGGCGGGGCCTCGGGCTGGGCGGGTCGGAGGTGGGGCCCAGGTGGTGTTGATACACAAAGAGAAGGCGCCCGGGCGGCCGCGGCCCCGCCCACTGACGCGTCCCGGGGTGCCGCTATAACCCGCCGCTCAAAGGGCTGCTACAGAGCCCCGCGACGCCGCCGCCCTAGTGAACGCCTTTCCAGTACTGCTATCAGCAGCAGCAGCCCAACCACGCGTTACCGCACACTCGCGCCTTTCCTTTGACACGGCGGACGCCGGAGGATTGGGGCGGCAGTTTGTCATTTCCTTTTTTATTAAAATTATTTTTCCTGCCTGTTGTTGGATTTGGGGAAATTTTTTGTTTGTTTTTTATGATTTGTATTTGACTGAGAGAAACCCACTGAAGACGTCTGCGTGAGGTTTCCAGGGTACAAGAACAGAGACCACCGAGGTAACGCGTGCGGGGGGGTGTCTGTGGGGAGGGCGCGGGACCCGGGCGAGAGTGGGGGAGGGGCTTCCGGGAGGGGCCGCGCGGGAAGGCGACCGCGGGGTCCGTTTCCTTTCGAGGCGGGCGTTGTCGGTTGGCCTGGCCAGCCTTCCATCCTGGCCCGCCGCGCAGGGGTCGCGCCCGCGACGTGGGCAGGAGAGCAGGCGCTGGGCCCGGGCCGCGTGCCTGCCCGGTGCGGAGCCGCATCTTCCCATTAGGGGGAGGGGAGCCAGCCTGGCCCGCGGCTCTGCTGCGGCAAGTCTTGTGACTGATTTGCATTTAATAAAAAAAAAAAAAAAATTAAGTCCAGGGAACCAGGAATCTGGGGGCGGCGGAGGTGGGCTTGGGCATGTATTATAGGAGAGGCCAAGATTGGGGAAGACAAGTTGAGAACATTTGACAATATCGACGATCGATATTGCATCAGTTTGCTTTCCAGACATAGGAGGGGCTGGGCGGGCGAAGCACTCGCGGGCCAGCTGCTTGTGGACGGGTGTGCTTGAGGGCACTGGCGCGCGCGTGTGTAAATAAACCCCCAGCTCCCGGGGCCCAGGCGTTCGCCCCCCTCGAGAGAGTAGTGTCGGCCCTTTCCGCCTCCTTCTGGGGAAGGCTGTGTGCGGCAGAGGCATTTCCCGGTGTGGGGACTCCAGGCAGTAAAGGACAGATTACGCAGCATTGCTGTTCCAAATGCTAGAAACGGGAAGCCATGCGCCTAGGTTGCATGCACACGAGCCAGGGTCGGGGCTGCATGTGTGCCCTGAGTGCCTGTGCACGTTTGCAGCGCCTGGGAAAAAGCAAAACAGAGCCCTCTTCGCCCCCTCCACTCCGACTGGGGACAATAGAGAGGGTGAAATACTGAAATCTGCCGGAGTAGGGGGCCTCGGCGGCCGCAGCACAGCGGTGGAATCATCTTTGTTCTCCGCGGCTCAGCCGTCTGTACTTTTCCGCCCCTTGGCGCGCCCCCGCCCCTCGCGCGCGGCTGGTACTTTTCCACTCGCCTGGCCTGGGATGAATCAGCCGCGCTGCGCCTCCCGGCGGCGTCACCTGACCACGGCGGGCGGGCGCTGCAGTCCTGACGCGCCGCCTCTACTTTCGCAGGCCGACTCGCGGCCGGTGCACCCACCGCCAAGGACAAAAGGAGCCCAGCGCTGCTAGCTGCATCCGATTCCTCCCAGTGCTTAGCATGAAGAAGGCCGAAATGGGACGGTTCAATATTTCCCCGGATGAAGACAGCAGCAGCTACAGTTCGAACAGCGACTTCAACTACTCCTACCCCACCAAGCAAGCTGCTCTGAAAAGGTGGGAGAAGTTGTGACACTTCTGAAAAAACGGCTTGCATGGGTTGGGTTCAGGGAGTTACCTAGGAATTTGCTTCCATTGCTTTAATTCGCTATAGCATTTAGAGAATGTGTGTCATCTCTGGAAGAGTATCCGATTATCTTGTTGTAATGACAAGATAGCTCGTGGAGTGAAAGTCAACTCCTAGTTAATATTTATACATTTAAGTAAAGGTGTTGTATCAGAACTATGCTGGTGGGGGGTATTTTATGTTCAAGCAGTCTTGTGTGTAGTGATAGATATTTCAATCCAGTTTACAATTATATATGTCTGTATTTTTTGTAGCCATTATGCAGATGTAGATCCTGAAAACCAGAACTTTTTACTTGAATCGAATATGGGGAAGAAGAAGTATGAAACAGAATTTGTAAGTTAAAAATAATAATTTGTCTGTCAGTGGCTTTATGGAGTAAAAGAATAGTTTTACTTTTAGAATTCAAATCTAACTTGCCCAAACCTGGTTTTCTCCATTTAATTATTGTTATATGTTTGGTTATCGTTTTCCCTCTATGTAGCATCCAGGTACTACTTCCTTTGGAATGTCAGTATTTAATCTGAGCAATGCGATTGTGGGCAGTGGAATCCTTGGGCTTTCTTATGCCATGGCTAATACTGGAATTGCTCTTTTTATGTAAGTATGTGTAAGTAGTGAATCTGCCATGCAGGGCAGTTACTATGATAAAACATATTTTGGCTCCGGAAACTGAGTTTACAGTTGCAGTAGCTGACTCAAGTTACTTGCTTAAAATTAAAAGTATGAGAAACCCCAAAAATCTCTTTATTCTGCTACATACTGCACAATATCAAGAAAGCCAACTAGAAAAAAATAGGGCAGTCCTTAAAACTGACAAATTAAGCCAGAAGTCTTCTAAGTCAGTGGGAATAGTTAAAACGAAATTGTAACAGATGGTAGATACTGAAAAAGAACTATGGCTAAATCCAGGGTAGGTATAAATTTTGAGAAGCTGAAAATCCTATTAAGCTCCAAATCAGTTTGGTAAATTGACACAGTTCTTAAGGACCTGTGGCCCCTTACATGAATAAGGAAAAGAAAATTCCTGTAAACATACAAGGTGTGGTGGTATTTACCCAGCCTGGAACATGTTTGTTTTAAGACGGAGGAGTCAATTTTCTGGACCCTGAAAAGCAATCCATACATGTTTTTTTAATGTTTGCTTTTGTCAGACCTGTTCGATTGCCACATGCTGTGGCAAAAAAAATGAGTATTTTACTAAGTACTTGTTTTTAAATGGTTCCCCCCACAGTTGCACAGTTAGACTTAATTACTCCTGTGCTTTCCAGCATAAATACCTGGATAGACTCTTGGAGGTACAGAAGACTTCAGAGCAGTGGTTCTTAGCCATTTTTGCGTCACTGACTCTTGGAGAATATGATGGAAAAATGTGGATCTTATTTCCAGGGAAAAAGCACAAAACAAAAATACATGCAGTCTTAAGCATGTATTTTTCAGTGATGTTTGTGTCATAGCCCTTAAGTTTAAGTACCTGTGGACCCCTGGCTAAGGCAATTTCTGTGGAGGATTGTGTAACTTAATGCCTTCATTGTACAGATAAGGAAACCACACGTATATAACATGGAATTGTCCCTTTGTGACAGATATGTTTTACTTAGCTGACTGGTGCCTTCTACTCAAGTTATTTTCTCCAGCACGATAGAACGTTCATGAAAAGAAAAGCAGACCTTTGCAAATCTCTGCTTTGTGAAATTCCACACTGAGGTTAAGCCTGGCTTTGAGTACTAGATGCTAGGATTCACTCTGGCTTGCTTCAATTAGGATGAGGCTTTTTGAGAGAACCCTTACTAAGGTGAAGGACCAGCAATTTATATAGAATCCTAGAATTTCAGGAATTTTTAGTGGAGAATCTGAATGGCATCACTGTTGAATATTTGAAATCCTTGTTAGCGCTTGGCATAAAAACGAGGCAGTTTTAGAGTGCAGCCAGTGTAGTTAAAGTAAGAATTTAAAGGAGATTAAATGGCACCTCTGTTTCATAAGTGAAGGTCAAATTCTGATGTAACCCTTGTACTCTTGGAATTATACTTTAATAGGTGCTTATGTCATTGATTTACCATTTTACTAAATAGCTAAATAAGATTGCTAAAGTGTGATTTTATTCATCAGTATGTACTGTATATTTAGAGGTATAGAGTTAAATGGGCCAAAAACCACATGGCTGCCACGGTCCACTTCAACAACTCTATAGCTAACCTTTTTAAGTAGAATCAATCTCAAGGTTGAAAGTGACCTCAAAGGTTACAAAGTCTATTTACCGCTCGTCATTTCAGTGTAAGACATGGAAGGACTTAATTTGGTTTGTTTTTAATTAAATCGACATCTTTTCTCCAGTTAGAAGTGAGGTTGATAGTGTCACCTCAGACTAGGCCCTGTAAAACTTCTGGCATTTAGAATGGTAGTGTAAAGCCACTTCCTCTGTTTAACTAATAGACATCAGTTTCTTTGTCAGCACCTTATATGGTACTGCGTGCAATTTGCTCACACGGAATCAAAAAATATGCAACTCTTCTCTTTTGCAGGGTTTTCTATGAGTTTCCCTGTTTTGTTATTTGATTTCTTTTAAAAATTAGTCTGTATCTCTGGGCTCTCCTAGGTGGAAGAAAAGTAAAGCTGGAATGAGGGAGAACCCTTACCCTAAAGGAAAATAAGGTGACATTAGGGTCCCTTTAGTCACTCTATGTTACCTTATTTTTTTTTTTTTCTCTTGCTGAATCCAAGTGAAAAGGTCAAGGGAGGAAAGGCTTAGACAGTCAAGCTGATACCCTACTCATTCTAGCACAGACATTGTTTTAACTGTGACAATACTGGGCCTGTATTCCTTGCCATGGGGTGCAATGTAGTATGTCATTACAATGGTTAGTTCTCTGATTTGTGCCCAGTTGTTAGTAAAGCTTGTAGTGCCTCACTCTTAAAATGTTAGTATCATGTTAGTGTCATTTCCCCCTTACATTCTTTTCCTTTTTTTTTTTTTCTTTAAAAAAAAGACAGTATTTCATTTTGTCCTCCAGGCTGAGTGCAGTGGCAAACTACTGGGCTCAAGTGATCCCCCTACCTCAGCCTGAGTAGCTGAGACTGTAGGTATACACCACCACAGCTGGCTTTTTTTTTTTTTTCCTTTGGTAGAGATGGGTTTTCCCTACGTTATGTTGTCCAGGCTGGTCTCGAACTCCTGGCCTCAAGCAGTCATCCTGCCCCAGCCTCCTAGAGTGCTGGGATTACAGGCATGAGCCACTGCACCTGGCCTCTCATTCCTGTTTATATGTATACGGTCCATGTGGTTTTAAAACCTTTCCTGAACCTGTCTCAGTTGAATTTCATAAGAATCTTGTGGGCTAGGTTTAGTAGCGGATATTACTGATATTTTACAGATAAAGGGAACTATTGAAATGCAGAAAGGTGGCAAGCATACAGCTCATTATTGTGGTGCCAGAATCAAAGTACAAGTTTCAAACTCCACTGGGAAGTTGAGCTTTCCAGTGTCTCATGCTGTGTTTGGCTCAGTGGGTAGACATCCTTGTTCCTAACCAATGCTGTAGAACTGTCACCTGAGAAATGATGCAAGTTTTTACTGTCAGGCAAGAGACAATGTTGACACTCCAGTTAGCAGGAGAGGAAATGCCAGTTCTTCAGGGCATTTTGACACAAATAGGGCAAGTTTCACACATAATGTTATTTAAACAACCAGAAAGAGTTGTCTTTAAATATAGCCATGCTTATTTATAACCCTGTGCCTTTTCCTTCTCTCATCAGAATTCTCTTGACGTTTGTGTCAATATTTTCCCTGTATTCTGTTCATCTCCTTTTAAAGACTGCCAATGAAGGAGGTATGATAGCATTCTTGATTTTTCTAAAACAATGTATACCTATCATGATTTTATTTCTCTTTTAAAATCCTTGGCTTCATGCTTCTGTGTTCTTAAATTGTAGGGTCTTTATTATATGAACAATTGGGATATAAGGCATTTGGATTAGTTGGAAAGCTTGCAGCATCTGGATCAATTACAATGCAGAACATTGGAGGTAAGAATTTTTCAAAAGACAATTTGGGTAGACTTTATGCTCATTGTATAGCACAGAGTGGTGACATACGCGTTTTGGTGTCACGTGCCGCATTTTGCACTTGTAATGGTATAATTTTGTTTTCCTCTAGCTATGTCAAGCTACCTCTTCATAGTGAAATATGAGTTGCCTTTGGTGATCCAGGCATTAATGGACATTGAAGATAACACTGGGTAAGTGCTAAGTAAGGTTACTCATGAGAAACAATTATAGTCAAAAGTGGTTGGATATATTTTTATCAAAGTTGTATACAAAATGATTATTAGTTATCCATACATGTTCCTTTTGAAACTGACCCGTAAACTGATTCGAATTTTGGAGAATGAAAGGCCAAAAGATAGTAGCTAGCCCCACAATTTTGGATATCTTAATTTCTAAAACAGGTTTTCTAGAACTTGCTTTCTGTCTTTGTGTTCATACTTAAAGAAGTTATAGCTGTTTTTAATATATGTCCTAAGTGAGGATTGAAGCTTTGAATTACATTAAAAATTAATCCGTCCTATTTTTGTAAGTTTGGAATTCTTAAGACTTAATCTGTTCAATGCAAAATACAGGTTGGACATCCCTAATCTGAAATCCAAAACTTTTTGAGTGCCAACATGACGCTACAAGTAGAAAATTCACACCTGATCTCGTGACAGGTGTGCAAAATTAATTAAAATATTGCATAAAATCACCTTTAGGCTGTGGGTTTAAGAAGGTATATAGGAAACATAAGTGAATTTTGTGTTTAGACTATAGTCCCATCTCCAAGATACTTCAAATATGTATATGCAGATACTCCAAAGTCCAAAACACTTCTGGTCCCAAGCATTTTGGATAAGGGATACTCAACATTTTGGATAAGGGATACTGTGCCAGAAAATGCTTGGGCATGCTATAGAAACCATTTTCTTCTAGCAAAGTTATTCATCCCAGTGAACTCACAGGTTTTTATCTAAAGTAAACATGGGGAAGGGTAATTTACTTCCCACCCTACGTGCAGCTCATTATGTCAAAATAGAGAAGTGCCGTTATCAAAGATGTGGCTTTAGAAATTTAATTTTTTAAGCTGATCTTTAAGTATTAGTGTTCTACAGAGTACTTACTGCTGAAGTGAACAGAATTTATGAGGCAATTAGAATTTGAAAATAGTGATTTAGAAGAGAGTGCAATTCATGATTTACCTAAAAAGGAAAAGGCTTAGGGGACATACATAATGTTTTCTGTAAGTTCAAAAGGGATATTTTTGGCTGTCTTCGGAGTTAAAGGTGGTTCAAGATGTCACAATATACTCTGATAACCTGGAATAAGTCCTGGTTTGGGGGACTGAGTTTTATAATTTTTCGGGGGGGTAGGAGGCAGTTTGCCTATGCATTTTATGAAAACTTTTCCTCATTGAAATGTTTAATAAGTATATTTGGTAACACGTCTGGAAAAAAAACTTGTTTTAAAATTTTTTAGTTTCCAGCATTAGAAATTACATGCTAAAGCTGTACCAAAGTTGGTGTACAATTTTTCTGAAAGTGCTTAAAGATAAGATTACTGGCTTAACAAAGCAGCTTTGTTCCCTGCGTTAGTATCAAGTCTTTGAGAAGCATTTTGTGTTATGAATCAGCTGGCAGCTTTCCCAGAGCAAGTAGTGGGACAAAAGTTACACTGTTTCATACCCAACTTCTAACCTGAGTAAATATTCATCTAGCACACAAAGTTAAAAAGTTATTCCTATCTTGAACAAGGGAAACTGTTTCCAAACATGTCTTTTTTTGTGTTTGTTTTTATGGTATTTCTATAAAATGAGTCCTGTTAGAAGAAATATATATTATTCTGAGGATATTTGTGACTGTTTTGACCTTGTTTCTGTTTTCTTTAGATTGTGGTATCTGAACGGTGACTATTTGGTTCTGTTGGTGTCATTGATACTCATTCTTCCTTTGTCGCTGTTTAGAAATTTAGGTGAGCAAACTCATCTCTAAAAGAGAATTGAAATGAGCCTCTCACCAGTTAGTTGGGCTTTCTCTTAATAGAAATTAGTCAGAATGAAAAAGCCCTAGAAAGGTATATCTTTGGGACTCACAGCATACAACATTTAGGAGCCAAAATGTTTAATTGACACTATATATTGTACTTTGTAAGAAATAATGCAAATGATAGTTTTTATTAGCTTGGGTTATGACAAGTATATTTAAATAATTCTATATTTTAGTATCATAAGAATTAGAAATTTAGTAGTGTAGCCATACTTTAGTGCCTAAAGTCTTCCCAGCAGAATTGAGTTATTCAGTGGGGAAAAGATATTTGCTTTAAATCTGTTTCATTAAACTAATACTGATTCCTGCCACCCCCCTTCTAGGATATTTGGGATATACCAGTGGCTTTTCCTTGTTGTGTATGGTGTTCTTTCTGATTGTGGTGGGTATGATTTTTCTTTAGAAAATATTTTTTGTAAACCCTACCATGTCACTTAGTTTAACATATGCAAAATAATATCTTTTTAGGTCATTTGCAAGAAATTTCAGGTTCCGTGTCCTGTGGAAGCTGCTTTGATAATTAATGAAACAATAAACACCACCTTAACACAGCCAACAGCTCTCGTACCTGATTTGTCACATAACGTGACTGAAAATGACTCTTGCAGACCTCACTATTTTATTTTCAACTCACAGGTAACTAAATATGCTTATTTTCTCAAAAGAAGAGTTTAGGGAAGAAAAGAGGGAAGCTATTCACTGGAAATTTAAAAATAACTCCCAGGGTAAAGAGAGGAGGATAACAGGTGCTTCTTAGAAAACATGTGATTAGCTAATTATTGAGGACTGTGAGGAAAGTTTTGGTTTACATCTTAAAATAGATCGAAAAATGAGATAATCACATGGTGCTAATAATTGACACATTCAGAAGTGAGGATATTGATCATACTTCATGAACAGATTAGAGGAATGGAAGCTAATTACACAAAGGAAACTTTCAGGCTTTGATTCTAAGATTGTTTACATAAAATATATGCTGTAGAAATATGACAGCATGAGTTTGTTACATCAGATTAAGTAGGTTTTTACGTTTTGTTTCAGACTGTCTATGCTGTGCCAATTCTGACCTTTTCATTTGTCTGTCATCCTGCTATTCTTCCCATCTATGAAGAACTGAAAGAGTGAGTATTTCATTTTTATATCAGTTTGAGAAAATATTAGACAACTGCTGTAACTGCTGCTGAAATACACATTTGAATTTTCTTTTGAATTATATAGCCGCAGCCGTAGAAGAATGATGAATGTGTCCAAGATTTCATTTTTTGCTATGTTTCTCATGTATCTGCTTGCCGCCCTCTTTGGATACCTAACATTTTACGGTAAATAATGCCTCCTTTACCAAAAAAAAAAAAGCTTATTGAAATGAAACTGCTACTTTTCTATGTATAGTTCCATCACTTTAAAAATAGTCTTAATATATTTCATATTTGTGATGAGAAATTATATTTAGAACTTAGAATTTTCTGTAGTGTATTTAATCAGTAATATCTAGAATCCAGGTTTGAAAACATCATTAATCATTTGATGGCATGTTTGTATGATATGCCAGCCTCTGAGTTCATCTTGCCTGTCTCCTCTCCCATCACCTTCAGACTGTATAACACAAACACAAATTATAAGCCAAGCCAGGAGATTTAGCTGTTTAACTCCTGTTGCTTTTAATGGGAGTCATGTGGTTAAATCTCTATGTGTATTTAGAAAAATTTTCCTTCAATGTTACTTTAATTGCATTAACCATAATTCCAAACTAATCTTATTAGCCTCTTAGTTTATAGTCGTTTTGTGAGTAGCTAAATAACTGGTGCACATTTTGCTGTTAAATTTTCTACTTGGTCTTCAATGAAAACAGACACTCAAGAGTTTTTTTGGTATTTCCCTGTAGAACATGTTGAGTCAGAATTGCTTCATACCTACTCTACTATCTTGGGAACTGATATTCTTCTTCTCATTGTCCGTCTGGCTGTGTTAGTGGCTGTGACCCTGACAGTACCAGTAGTTATTTTCCCAGTAAGTAATCACTTGCTCTGCTTTCAGTAGGAATGAGTTTTTAAACGTGAATATTTGTGAGATTTTCATCTTCTGGAAGAAGGGAAACACCAGTAGAACAATACTAAGTTGGTGGTGGTTTTGAAGGGACTTTTAAAAAATACAGTGTATATTTTCAAAATATCCTGGGGACTTTTTTTTCACCATAAGATATAAAATGATCTTTTAAGTGTTCAGATGTTCAGGAAACAGCAGAGAAAGAGGCACAGTTTTATTTAGAAATAGTTACTATTTTGGATAGATTCCTTGTTACTTGGGCATTCCTTTCATTCATTGAAGCTGGATTTGTAAATTTTATATTGCTATTATTTTTAAAATACATTTTATTTATTTATTTATTTTTGCAGATCCGGAGTTCTGTAACTCACTTGTTGTGTGCATCAAAAGATTTCAGTTGGTGGCGTCATAGTCTCATTACAGTGTCTATCTTGGCATTTACCAATTTACTTGTCATCTTTGTCCCAACTATTAGGGATATCTTTGGTTTTATTGGTAAGTTTTAGAAAGTATCAAAGTTGATTCAAACATCAGGGATTTTAAGATTTAAAGAATGAATGACAAGTGGTTCATTGAATCCTCAAGAAACAAATGTTCTTTTACAGGTGCATCTGCAGCTGCTATGTTAATTTTTATTCTTCCTTCTGCCTTCTATATCAAGTTGGTGAAGAAAGAACCTATGAAATCTGTACAAAAGATTGGGGTGAGTGAAAGATTATCACCATAGAAACAGTAGTAATATAAATTTCTCTAACTGATTTTAATTTTATTCTCGTAGCTGTTATTTGTTGTGGTTTCACTTTGAAGTTTCCAGTAAACATTTCTGTAATGGTATACTTCACAGGTGGAAGATTGCAGAGGGAAGGGGAAAGATAGTTTGCCATCTAATAAATACTTAAGTTAATTGCAATAAAGTTATTAGATACTTTGGAGATAGGAATAGGGTTGAAGACTAGTGTGAGATATTAAGCTTTCAACATTTGTTCAACCAGTTTTCATTGGACTGCCTACTGTGTGACAGGGACTTAAATGGGCATTGAATATATAAAAGAGAAGGAAGGGCGTTTAGTTGAATGAGACTGACCATCTTCAGAGTGAAGCTCTCAGGGAGGCCATCTCTCCATAGTGTTTACTATTATGTACCTACTCTAAAATGTAGTACCAGCTGGTGACAGAGAATGATGTGCTAACCACAAATGATGTGGTTCCTAGTACCAGAATCCTGGTGGGTGGTGTTTAGGAAAAAGACTGCTTTTTAGTCATTATTTTCCACCTTCATTCTGCTGTGATTAAAGTACTAGAATTGTTTATAAACCAACAACTGTCATCTTGTTTTACTCTAAATTACATAGTGGCAGTATTGAAGGGTAGGATTTAGGAATTAGTATTTCCTGGAAAGACCTCTGGCTTTGACTTTTGCTGCATTTTAGGATGTTTTGGGTTTGATTTTGTGACTTTACTTTTGCTCTAAAAAATTGCAAAAAATCCAGTCCACCTCTATATGAAGCAGTTTGTTTAGCAAGAAAATTCCCTTTTCACTTGAGACAAAGGAATGGAAAAGTGAAAAAGTTCAGAAGGCCTCAAAGGTAGTTATTTTGTACTGCAGATAACTTACTGATCACTTAGGAGTTTATATTTAGCAAGTTAAATACTCATTCTGTAGAACATGATGCAGTAGATAAACTTTAGTAATTAAAGCACATTTCAAAAAGTAGAAAAAGAAATGTTTAGCATATATGTTTTATTACTTATTGATCAATTTTCTCTATGCTTATTGCAGGCTTTGTTCTTCCTGTTAAGTGGCATACTGGTGATGACCGGAAGCATGGCCTTGATTGTTTTGGATTGGGTACACAATGCACCTGGAGGTGGTCATTAATTGGCACCACTCAAACTCAGTGCATCTGATGCCAGTGTTGAGTAAACTCAACTACTATGAAATTTCACCTAATATTTTCAGTTTCACTTCCTTTTGAAGTGCAGATTCCTCGCTGGTTCTTCTGAGTGCAGAATAAGTGAACTTTTTTTTTTTTTTTTTTTTTTTTTTGTTAAAGAAACTTATCTGTATGTTAGAAATGGATATGAACAACAAAACCACGAGTCTCGGGTTAAGGGAAGTGACAATTTTATTCCATTCCAGAGAATGGACGAACTCTTAACTTTTATCAAGCCACATGCTTGGCTGTGTCATTGTTTAACTTGGATATTTTATGATTTTACTTGAATGTGCCTAATGGAACCATTCGATGTGAGAAATAATTCTTCTTAATTTACAGCAAAGTATTGAATAACCATTGAGAAAAACACTATTATTTTTTGTACCAAAAATACTTAAAGACCTCAGAAGCACTCTTTTACTTTTAAAAAATTGCTTTTTTTGAACTTTATTCAGAAGCAGTTATCAATAAATTCCATAAAATAATTTCATTGGTATTTAAAAATGAATATTAGTATAATGAAATGATTTGCCTTTTTGTAGGCATAATAAGCCAAATACTTTTTTACCCAAAATAATTTTTAGAGAAAATGATGTAATGAAAAATTGTACCATGAATTAGGAGCGTAGTTTTTTTCCATTTAAATGTCACCATTACTTAAAAGATGATTGATTGATTATTGCTATACCAAATCAGATGAACCCTGTTCATCACTTTTCTTCTCTGTCCCCAAACAATTTGGTTCGAGACTGAAATGTTTGTGTCTTCAGCATATTAGAATGGAAGATAATACAGATATTTCTGTGGGAAATAAAATAACTAATTTTGAGGTACCAAATAGTGCAATTGGGTAAAACAGGGTTTATTCAGTTGCATCTGTCTCCAGTGTTGTATTGACAGCTCTGGGTATTTTTTTGGGCCAGCCCTTTTTTGACATTGCTTCCAGCAGTGGAAAATGGGCATTTGATGGCAGTAGGCCAAAATTATTGTGTCCAGAGAGTACACTTTTTCAAAATGCTCACCTACTGGAAGTGTGAATTACTTGACAATGTATGGCTTAGTTGTGTTCATGTTTTGTCTACAGTAGAGGTCTAATCCACAGGGTACACCTATGTTTGGTAAGATATAAGTTCTCTTTGTGTAAGCCACTGGGTTTCTCATGCAGTAAGCTTTATAAAAACTCATTTGCACTGGACTGTCATCTCATTCTTGTACAACGTAGAATTACTTGTTTACATCCAACAAATGGTTAGCTAGGGAAAACAGTGCAAACTGAGTGTTAGTCGTTTTGGTCCAACTGCATGTCAACCCTTCCATTTCAATCCTGGTTAGAAGTGAAAATAATTACTTTGAAACTTGGCTTTAAGAGCACATTTATCATATGTCACAGTGTATGGTGAATATATTATTAAAATAACGTGGTACTTTGCTCATCAGGCATAATGTCTAAAATCTAATATACATAATTCCATTAAGTGGTTGAGGGAAGCAAATAATGGAATTGTCGATTGGTCATCTGGCTCTAAGGTTTGCCCTTGAACTAAAAATGTTGAGTTTGGGGCAAGGGCCAGAAATATGGCAGACGTGGTTTTTGTTACGCATTCTTGTATTATATGTGACTAAATTAACAAACAAGATACATGTGTAAGGACCCTTATGGAACTGGAAGACGTCTTGTAGTGCTACATTGGGTGAAACCTTATTGGTCCACTTTTGTCTGTTCCTATGAAGATAAAATAATTGGGGACCATCTACAAATAGGCAGTGGGAAGACAGATTCTACAGCACTGCTTTCATTTAATTGGGCTTTAGACACTCCACTCGAATGCAGAACCTCACCTCTAGTTGAGACCAAGAATTGGCACATTTGCATGAGCTCCTGGAATAAGTTGCTGACTTTGTATCTAAGACCTGCCAGGGAATACCAAGAGTTGTTTCTACAGAAGATACTGTGGCAACCAGGAAGGAATGGAAAAAAAAATTCTTTTCTTTACAACAAATTAATGTGAGGAAGCTCCTCCAATCATCTGGTTATTTGAGGTTCAAAATCAACTGCCTAGGGAAAATTGCAATGCATGATTCTCTTGGAGCTATCTTGTCTGCCTTGAGGTTCCTAAACAATGAATTCCCATTAATGAGCAGTCTTCAGTATTAAAACCACTGTCTTGTCACCTCATTTTGCATTACTGTCTTCCGTGGATGTTTCAGTTATAACTGTAATGTTATTTATAGAACAACATTAATCCATTAAAGCTAACCTATTTTTCAATATTTATGATAATCTATGTACATATATTGTCTGTCCATATGTATTTGTAAATAGGTTGTATATAATGTCAGGTTTGGGTCTTGGGTTCAAGTGTATATATTCCTATAAGTTTCTTAACTGCATTTTGATGAATTCATATTATGTAACTATAAGAATTGTCCCAAAAGTACCTGTACAGAAAATTGAATATTGAAAAATTGACAAATTGTGTACAAACACTAAAGTGTTTAAATTGTATTTGCAATAAACTCAACATTAAATTTTTTCATGAAATCGTGGTGCAAATTCAGATCTCTTATTTAAAATTTAAATAAGGTATAAATTTTCAAAATGCAGTAATCAAAATGTGATCTAGTGTAATGAAATAAAGTGTGATCTAGTGTAATGGAAGACCTTTGAGAACCTGGGTGTATTAACTTTGTGTATATAGTGTAAATATCCCTACTGTACTGTTAGAGACCAACAATTCTAGTATGGCTTGTTGGCAAAGAGTGCTACACCGTTTCAATGAAACAATGTATGTTTGTTTTAACTGAACTAAAATAAATACATGCTTAATCTTAAGTAGCAGTGTTTTTGTTTTTTTGTTGTTTGTTTTTTTTCAGGGAATGGGATAGGCAGTGTCTAATGCAATTTGCATTGTAACTGCAGTACCTAGCACCTAGTAGGTGTCCGTATGTTTGTGACGAACAAAAGAATGGTCAGGAAAAAAAGTTTATTTTACTTTAGGTTCCCAGAGATTCTAAGTTTCCAAAGTGAGAAGGAGTGGAAAGTCTTGGAGACCTGGGGGAAGATGCCAATCTTAAGGTCCCAGGCTCAGCCCTGCTGATGGAAATAAATAGGCCAATAATGTATCAGAATCAACTGGAGAGCTTTTTAAAACCACAGCTTTCTAAAAGGTGCCTAATTTGTCTGATTGCAAAGGTCCAGCTGTAGGGTGGCCCAGGATCTGGTTTTTGTTTTACTTAAGAAGGTCACTCGGGTGATTCTGATGCACAAACTCCAGGAGCAATGAAGTGGCCTAGAAAGAAGTTAGGATATGTTCAGCTTTGGTGAAAAAGCCACAGGAAAAGAGGAATTAATTGACAAGCTGATGTATGTAACAGCATGGTTTTACTTGAGTGACAGTGGAAGTGGGAAGGTTACTAAGATACACAGGCTACTTTAGGTATGGCCTACTGATAAGTCTGAAAAGCTTGAGGCTTGTGAACAGAGCTGAAACACAAAAGACCACACCTTGGGATAGCCAAGTATGCTCGATGGTAGTTCCAAAGTCAGGAAACGTCTCCAAGAAATTTAATGACGGTCAAATGAGAAGGATTAAGAAAGGCAGCAGAATTTGCAACAAATCAATTGAAGAATGACTTGTGGAATTTTCTTGTATTCATAGGCAAGCTCTAACTGAATACCTACCATTATGGAACTAACATGCTCATTGGAAAGAGGGTAGGGTTATGTGTCAGATGAGTTCGAACAAAATCCATACACTTTCAAATGTGATAATTTTTAGAAAAAAATGATACCAACTGGTCGTGGTGGCATACCTGTAGTCCTAGCTACTCCAGAGGCTTAGGCAATAGCATTACTTGAGCCCAGGAGCTTGAGACTAATCTGGACAGCATAGTGAAACTCTTTGTCTCAAACAAAGCAAATAAAATACAAAAAATTACCAAAGTGAACCAGAATGCAAATTTATTTATCTACAATTAGAAATATACTGGATAAAGCCAGGCATGGTGACTCATACCTCTAATCCCAGCAATTTAGGAGGCCAAGGAGGGTGGATTGCTGAAGCCCAGGAGTTCGAGACCAGCCTGGGCAACATGGTGAAACCCCATCTCTACAAAAAAATACAAAAATTAGCCAGGTGGTATGCACCTGTAGTCCCTGCCACTTGGAAGCCCAGGGAGGTCAAGGCTGCAGTGAGCCGTGATCATGCCATTGCACTCTAGCCTGGGTGACAGAGTGAGACCCTGTCAAAAAAAAAAAAAAAGGGAGTGAAGGAAAGCAGGGAGTAAGGAAGGAAAGGAAGTGGGTTGACAGGTCCACTGAATATAAAAATACGGTACTCTAACCAGGGAGCCGGCTATTCCAGAGAGATTTCCATTAAGCTTGAGGAATATTGCAGGAACATTTCTAAATAAAGAACCAGAGCTGTTTGTCTTGACTTAGAAATACACCTGGATAGTTGGCTTAGTCAAATTTCTGATAACAAAAAAATCCATTTAATTTAAGCAAGAATGTCAGATGGAGAGAACTCCTTAAGAGACTGGGATGCCTTAGAGAATTAAAAGATAAACAGCTTCCAAAAATCAAAAATTGTCTTTGTTTTAGAGACCTCAATGACAGAAGTGTGTGAAATTTCACTATAGAGCTATGCGACTAGATTCTGAGCTTCTTGTTTTCAGTTCAATTTCTCAATATAAACAAATCGGTCAGGAATGGGTCAAGATCCCACCCTAATCTCAAATGTAGTTAGGTGGGCAGGGTAACACAGTACAAACAGCTGCCAGGACCTACCTGAATGGTGGACAGAATAGTTTTCAGAGGAGAGGTGCAGTGATCATGCACTAGAAATAGGCTAGAAAACTGGGACCAACTGTATGGTTTTAACACTGAAAGACCTGCATCCTGAAAACCCCGTTAGTCCCAGGCAAACTGGGAATGGTTGGTAACCCTAGCTAAGAAGGCAACCACCAAAATGTTTAATGAAGCAGTACAGAGATATTGATACATTTATTTTCTTTGAATTTCTTTTTTCTAGGCTTCCATGCAGGACACCAACCTTCTTTTATGACTTCGCCCCAACTCAATGATTGATTGCTTCCTCAAATCACATTTTTTCTGACTTCCCCACCATAAGAACTATAAGCTTCATAGGAACAGACATCTGTCTATCATTTCATCAATTTATCCCCAACACAGCCAGGCACAGGGGCTCACGCCTCTAATCCCAGCACTGTGGGAGGCTGAGGTGGGCAGATCACAAGGTCAGGAGATTGAGAACATCCTGGCTAACGCTGTGAAACCCTATCTCTACTAAAAATACAAAAAATTAGCTGGGTGTGGTGGCCGGCGCCTGTAGGCCCAGCTACTTGGGAGCCTGAGGCAGGAGAATGGCATGAATCTGGGAGGTGGAGCTTGCAGTGAGCCGAGATCGCACCACTGCACTCCAGCCTGGGTGACAGAGCAAGACTCATCTCAAAAAAAAAAAAAAAAGAATCCCCAACACTCAGAACAGTATCTAGCAAATGCTACACAGGTACTCAATATAATTGTTGAATGAATAAACGTACCCTTGATTTCTTACAGTTTCTTATAGTATAGTGGAGGTGAGGCTCCAACTTTTAAGCAAGAATTTACTAAACGCTTGCAAGATAAATACTGCTTGTGCCATGAAATTAGACACTTTGACTTAAAAGATATAATATAGCTCACTTACCTTCAACCAGAGGCCCACAACAGGAAGGCTTTCTTAGTTCACGTGTGATCGGCCTCCAGGTGGCAAAGCCATTCTTTAACCTCTACCACATAAGTGATTTTGTGGCAGTGAAATTCTTTTTCAAATTCTAGCTAGATTTGGTTCTCCCCTACATATTGTGAGGAAAGAGTTAACACAGCAAGTCTAGTGGCTCCCTCCTATGTCTTCAAGGGAACCATGAGTGACCCTTGACTAACTCCTGGGAATGTGGCCCTCAGAAGGTTCTTTATGTTAGTGACTGATGATTTTGTTATATTCACCTGGAGCAATGGACCATGCTGAACTGGTTTGTCAGGTTGCTTTGCACAAACACCAAGGTTAATCATGTGCACATGGTTTCATTGTTGGGGTCCTGATTTTGGGTGGCCAAGGATGGTTGCACAGCTGGATATGCCTATGTTAACTAGCACCCCACCCCCCTACCCTTCCAAAAGCCATGGATCCCTGAGCCATTTGGGCTTACCTGAGCAGAGAAAATCCACACATGTCCTCATAGTTCACTGCTAGAAAAAGAGCACACCTGTGTGATCTTGGACAAGAAAGGTATTAAAGCCTGTATTAAAGCTAGACTCCACTGTTTCATATATTTTTCCTGTTACTCTGTATCCTTTCCTGTAATAAATCTTAGCAGTGAGTATTACCTGCTACCTCGTGGGAGTCCTCGTGAATCAGAAAATGAAATGTGTGGTCTCTGTTTTTTCTCTACACCATGTTTAGAAATCTCAGTGCCTCTTGGCTTCTCCAGAAAGAATCTATTCTCGGTAAAAGCTCCAAGCATTATTGTGCAAGTTTTACTAAATAATACTGGGGATCAGGAGGATTAGATAGCGAAGGAGGGTTTTACATTGTACACCTTACTGCATGCAGCTTTATAAAATCCCATTTGACAGATCTTCCAAGTCCCTCTCATGGTGATGT